TTGAATCCACAAATATGGTGTAAATGCTGAAAATTCACCCATCCGGGTGCATAAAGCTACCACTGACTTGAAAAAATTGACTTGACAATAAAATATCCGTGTTCATTTTGTCATTGTTGTTCTCCGCCAACTCATAAACTGTCATCATCTAAAAGTTATTTTGGTGCATTGAGTTCGCTTCGGTGTTCTGGGATTGTATCTTCAAATAAATTGTAATACAAGGTCGTTATTCGCTATTTCGTCTATATGTTTATCTGATTACATTCAGATATCACAAGGTCTTATGAAGTGGAGCTGAATTTCGAATTGCCAATCGAACCGACAAATTAGTTCCATTTTGCTTGGCTTTCGGGGAGAAAATAAACAGAGCTGCGAATATGTTCACAGGAAAGTATTACCAGGATCGTATTTCTTTCAAAAAGAAGAGACTTTTGGTTATGTTCAGCCATTTATTTCATTTCACTGCTCTTTAAAATGTGCGCACTTTAGGCGAATGGCGCCACAAACGCTGCTGTTGTTAATTGTATGTGAACGGAACAAGTAAGATATGGATATTACGCCCAGATGGTGGGAAAACACGGACGGGGATAAGAAATCGCCATCGTTTTGAACAAGTATTCAATTCCACTTGTGAATGGTATCAAGTAACACTAAGTAATGAACAGAAGAACGATTTGAAAATGACAATTTGGCTTGGATCCAGTTCAATAGTCTCGTTCAAATGCTGTTTACACAAGCATCTCATCGTACTCGACCCGTGCATTTAGTTGATCGGAACAGCTTGATCATATTATGCGATTCTACCTCTCTCTGATCTGCATTGTCCACATTCAACCGATCAGTCACCTCCTCCTCCACAGTTTTGCACTGAAAGGGGCTAGAAGAATTCCGTTCATTACCACGCAGATCTCAATGCATGCAAGCCAAACAAGATGGTTAATGTGGACGAGAATTAGGTTCACTTGAATTTCGTCAAGTAACCAAACCGGAAGTGAGATGACAACCACAGAAGCACTACTGCCGTTTTGGTGTTCTGTCTTCCACTAACCGAGTAACGAGTCTCTGGAATCTAGCGAACCGCCCGACGACAGAATCGCATTTATTCCCCCAAAAAGAGAGCGTTTACAAAAAGGACAACCAGGCTTGTTGTTTGCCGTTAGATACAAACCAAATAACTCGATTTAATCTCCGAGAAAAACTAAGTACTACTTGCATTGCCTTCCTGTTTGTTTTCCCAACTATACACTCACAGTGTAAACTTATCCGAGTAAATGCGTTCTGTCTTGAATGACCGTAATCGCAATGCTATTACACCAATGTAGTTGAAAATATTCCACCACTGACCGACTAATAAAGTACTTTTTTGTCCTCACATGCAAACCATTGTGTAGCTCATCTGGACAAAATGCCGCTCTCGAGAGATGCGCTTTTGATCTACTGGCTCCAGTTGTCTCACTATTTCCTCGAGTTTTACGCCACTCTTCGAGTGAACACAAAACGGGCGGATTACATAGCCCATGTGGTGCATCATTTTGTTACCATCGCTCTATTGGTCGGTTCATTCTCGATGCGGTAAGTGTTGGGGTTGAGTGTTTCTAATTTTATCACCAACCGGGCTATATCGAATCGATATCGATGTTCAGTAGGAACCGAGTGTCTAAATAGCTGATTTGGTTTCACGGCGCAGATTTCCATCGGACTTGCCTCCTCGTTCAGCACGTGTGTATAGGAAATTTCCGAGTCACGTTTGAGTGATGACTACCTCAGGCTATTGCGTAACACTCGGCAAATAATGTGACTAAGAACCATAGTCGTCTGGAGCCTATATGGCATACGATTGTAACTGAAAATGTAGTATCTAAACTCTTAGTCATTCACAATAACCTGATCTACCATGTGCCTACAAATCAGCCTGTCATTCTGGAGGGATGAAATTCGTTGACTGAGGTACAAGGAACATTGAATTTTACTGTATTACTATGTACCATACAAATAAGATAAACAATATGCAATTCGGTGCATAAAAATAATCAGTTTTTCTTCTTCCATGAGATTCTTGGCTTTGGAATGTGTCACTAACGGTTGCTTAAACATCACGAAACGTAGCAAAGAAGTGTAAGGTTCATTGAATTTCGGTTTACAATTCTAATGGGCAAAAACTACGGCAGGTTTTCAACTAATGATATCAAGTTAACGAAGTGGTCTTCAATGCTGGTCTCAAACGACAAAAGCCACTGCTCCATCTTCATGATAAATAAAAGCAGTCAGAAATGAGAACATTCAGCAACACAGGAATAATGGACTCAGACAATGAATAAGTCAGTCAGTTATTAATTCGAGAAATTAAACAACCAATTACGTTATTGTATACTATATAACCTTTGAATTCAAACAGTGTAGTCTAGTTTGTACGAATGATCATCACGACAAAATAAGATTCTCTTGTCGGGGGAATCACTTATGAGGTGAGATCAAGGACAAAATGAGAAAAGATCTAATGTTAATTGCAGGACATTTTGTTGTACACAATTTGGTCGATACAATTAAGCATTCGTTCAGATCAATATGGGAAGGGGGAAGGGAGTGTAGTGACAGATATAGAACTACAGAGGAGGAAGAATCACGTGATCAGATTCCGGCCGCTTCCGTTGTGGAAACGATGTAACTCGTAATAATCCAAAATCAAGTCTTGCGAGTCAGGCACGTGAGGGGGAATGCGTTGGACACCTTAACACATGACTCAATTCTAGTGGGTGTGAAACAAGTGAACTATTGATGGACTTGTTCACTCTATGGGCTGGTTGAACTCTCACTGGTGCCTCTGATCATTTCATAATTCAAACTACCTACTGTCAAAAGAAACAACCTTCGATTTCATTCGATGTGGTCTGGTGGTTTTTAAAGCAAATGCATTATATGCTAACTTGTGAAGTCTGTTTGCCGCTGCAACTCCGATGATGGGTGAACCAAATGTGGAACGTCTACTATCATCGACGAATAATCAATCGAAGCTTGTGGGTACGTTGGCAGATCAGCCCGTAATCTGTATGGAAGTCTTGACTTGGTGGGAGAGTTTCGATTGGAGTTAACAGATTTTAATCTGCTTCCCTTCGTTGCCGTCGGGCCAAACGAACGAACTATCACTGAAGACGACACCTGAACAAACATGAATCGGCAATTCGGTTCAGCCATTGCATTAGCTGGTTGGCACAGTGGTAACGTACACGCCTTCCATGCGATGAGCCCGGAGTTCAAATCCCGGACGGGATGGTAGATATGCACTACTGATGAGCTCTAATAAGAGCAAAACTGGACTCTAGTGCTTCCGAGTGTATGGTTGAATCGGTGAACTGCGAATTGCGCTTGAAGGTAAAATCCGAAGGATAGCCAGTTCAAATCAATAAATATCATCGACGTGTCCCCATAGCTGCAATGGTAGAACATGTGCTACATGGGCGTAGTGTGCTCTGCGATTACTGGGCCGATCACCGTTCAAATGTAAGAGTGCACTGTTCAGTCAGTTCGGTTAGTGCTTGTGGGCTCCTTCAGATAAGCTTCCAGTCGTACGATCAATACATGATGATCCACAGGAACAAACAAATGAGTATTTACTGAACGAGTCTACAGAAACAGGTGATTTATTCTGTGGTTTTAATCATAAAGTGGCTGGAAACGAAGCTTCGTTGCGAAGACTGTTTCTGTTCGAGACATTTGATTCAAACTCGGATCGAAAGATTCTTACCACATGACAGCTATACTTTTGTCTATAAGTAAATAAATGTTTCTATGAAAGGATTACTTGATCAACTAAATAATAAACCAATCACTTAATTCCGAAAAACATTTTTCATTCATAAATCGTTATTTTTCAGATGTTTAATAGTTTGTTTTGGACTGAAAGCCACTTGCCAAACACGATATTTACAGCATTCATTTTTTGAGAACAACATTGATGCTTATGGGTCATGCCAGGAATTTCCACTATGTAGACAAGTTAAGATCAAATTACAAAGTGATGAAACTTGACAAAATGACACATTCCAAATTTATGTGATCAATTCACTAATCAAATGCTCTGAAAAACTACTGCGACGAAACAGCATAGAAAGGAGGACAATTGAAAATACCATAAAAGTGAAATCGTGTGTATACAATTCAATGAACTCTTCACTTTCTGATAGGAACATTCAGTTCCCAATTTATCCAACCTCTGGTGTTCTCTGACTTGGTCATGAATACAATATGACACAAAATGAATTCAGGCTGGAATAGTAAGTTTCTTTCCTTATATAAATATCATTCAGCAAAATTTACTCCCTCATTTTTGAAATGCACCTAGAATCGGCAGTAATACTTTCTGATGTGTTTTTTTCAAATTCACGCCAGCTTATGGTTTGTGAAGGGTCGTATCTCGTGTGAAACATCATTTCACTTTTTTCTTTCTCTCGCATCATCCCAAAACATCCGTTTTTCTGTTATCACGCATAGATTTTTCTATATCGGGGTTTTTGTCCTATTCTTGCACGATGTATCGGATGTACTTCTGGAGGCCACAAAATTGAACGTGTATTTCCGCGAACGTGGTGGAAAAACTCACAGATTGAACAAAATATTGGCCGACATCGGTTTCCTGGCCTTCACATTTTCCTGGTAGGTACTGATCTGACCCACTCAATACCTTTGACTGGCACAGATATCTGGGCAATAGATCGATTAATTCAGGTTAAGTGCTAATTATATTACGCAATTTTTTTATCTGGTATTAGGAGTGATTAAATTGAGACTGCGGATTTCAACCGTGCTGTGAAATTTTTATGAAATGAAACATTTTGATTATTGTCATCGTTCCTTTCCGAACAGTAGGGTTTGTCTAGTACTTTTTGGGCCCAAGTCGTGGTCATTCTTCTCATATTTGATGTGATATGCATGTATATATATATATATATGTGTGTTAATGGTCTCCTGCAAAGTCCATTTAACATGCAGGACATAAAGTGTTTCCTGGTCAGCGATTTCGTGCAGGATTATACTCGATTATTGTAGCCACGATCTAACACTGTTGACCATGAGCCATTAAGCTCAAGGATGGGAGTCTTGAGCCCGGGCGGAGAACCAAGAAAGCAAGCG